GTATTTCTTTGTAGCAATTGTGAATGGGAGTTCATTCATGATTTGGCTCTCTATTATTGGTGTATAGGAATGCTTGTGATTTTTGCACGTAGATTTTGTATCCTGAGACTTTGCTGAAGTTGCTTATCAGCTTAAGGAGATTTTGGGCTGAGACGATGGGGTTTTCTAAATACATAATCATGTCATCTACAAACAGAGACAATTTGACTTCCTGTCTTCCTATTTGAATACCTGTTATTTCTTTCTCTTGCCTGATTGCCCTGGCCAGAACTTCCAATACTATGTTGAATAGGAGTGATGAGAGAGGGCATCCTTATCTTGTGCTGATTTTCAAGGGGAATGTTTTCAGCTTTTGCCATGATAATTGGCTGTCTGTGGGTTTGTCATAAATAGCTCTTATTATTTTGAGATGTTTCATAAGTACCTAATTTATTGAGTATTTTTAGCATGAAGGGGTATTTAATTTTGTTGAAGGCCTTTTCTGCGTCTATTGAGATAACGTGGTTTTTGTCATTGGTTCTATTTATGTGATGGATTACGTTTATTGATTTATGTATGTGGAACCAGCCTTATATCCCAGGGATGAAGCCAACTTGATCATGGTGGATAAGCTTTTTCATGCTGCGCTGGATTCGGTTTGCCAGTATTTTATTGAGGATTTTCACATCGATGTTCATCAGGGATATTGGCCTGAAATTTTCTTTTTGTGTTGTGTTTGACTGCTAAGTGGTAGAGTTTGGATCCTGATTTAGGTCTGGCTCCAAAGTCTGTGAAATAAGAATAACAAAAAACTGGTAATGCAATACAGAATCCAATAGAAGCCAAAATTTAGTTACTTAACAAGATTAACAAACTAAATTGATAAGTACCAAGAAGACTGATGAGGAGATGGGAAAAAGAGGTACAAATTACCACTATCAAGAATGAAAAAGGTGATCTAATAACAGACCCAACAAAAACTAAAAAGATGTTAAGACAAAAGTATGAGTTTACACCAATTGATTTGAAAATTTAGATGAAATTGACAAATTTCTGGAAAACGACTTATCAAAAATAACACCAGGAAAATTATAAAATCTATCTAGTTCTTTGTCTATTAACAAAATTGAATTTATTATTAAACCTTTCCTTGGAGAAAACTCCAAAGCCAGACAGCTTCACTGGGGCGATTCTTCCAAACATTTAAGGAATAAATAAACCAGTGTTACATCAACTGTATCCAAGAATTAAGAAAGAGGGACCAAACGTATTTACTTGCTCATTTTATGAGGCCAGGATAACGTTAATATCAAAATGAGAATATTGTAAGGAAGTAAAATTACTAGCTGTCTTCCTTTAAAATCTCTACAAAAATACTAAGCAAAGAGTTAGTATATATAAGCCACAGAGATCTAAAACTGATAGTGTATTATGACCAAGATGGCTTTATTCCAGAAATATAATTTCTCCAGTAAAGGAGGAAAATTATTATCTCAATACATAGTTAATAACATTCAAAATCAATTCATGAATAAAAATACTCTTAGCAAGCCAGTATCTTTAATCTGATAAAGGGCATTTCTAAAAATCTTGATGGTGAAATATTCAAGGCTTTCCATTTGATATTGGGGATCATGCAAAAATACCAGTCTTACTACTCAGTGCAATGCTGCAGATCTTAGCCAAAGTAATAAGAAAAGCGATGAGATAGAGGAGAATGGGAAGGGAGAAATAAAAGTTATTCAGAAATACCTTGGTTATATAGATAGAAAAATCAAAACAATTTACAGATTGTTTACAAAAAATTTAAAAACATACCAGTTATATAAAAAATAATGTAAATAATTTAAACTGAAGATATATAAGACGTTTTCACAGAACACTATCTATAAAACATTAAGAGAAGTTAAAGACCTAAGTAAATGAAAAGAGATACCATATTCATGGTATTGAGAGTAGCTCAATGTTACAAAGATATCCGTTATTTCTATCTATAGAGTTAATGCAATATCAGACAATACCTGCAAACTTTTTTTAAAAAAGGACATTTGTTAAGCCAATTTTGAAATTTATATGGAAGTGTCATATATCAAGAAGAGCCTATATCAAATTGAAGAACAGAGGCAGAGGATTGCCAAATCTGATATTTAAAGCTACAATAATTTAGATAGGTGAATTGTAAGGGTAGAGAAATGGTAGAGATTTGTAAGTCCAGAAACTCACACACATATTTAGAAACTTGGTTTATTGCAAAGGTGGCTTTTGGGGAGTGCAGGTTATTTTTATTTGCTCTTTTTTTGATCAATTGGGTATTCATGTGGAAAAACACTAATCTTGACTCCTATTTCACATTATATAGAAATTAATTCCAGGCGGATTGTATTTCTGAGCATGAAAGATAAACCAGTAGAGTTTCAGGAGAATAACTTTATGAATGAAAGATATCTTTATGAATGTGGGTTGGGGACCACTTTTCAAACAATACCAAAAGTGCTAAACCATAGAGATCAAGATTGATAAAATGGGCTATATTCAAATTAGGAATTTGTCTCCCTTAAAATACTTCATTAAGAATGGGAGAACATATTTGCAGTACATATAATTATCAAAGTGGTTGTATCCAAAATACATCAACAACTTTATATGTAAATGACAAAAAACAACTAGTTAAAAAAATGGGCAAAAGATATGAATAAGCTCTTCACAAAAGAAGATATCCAAATGGATAATTACCATGTAAGAAGTATTAAGTTTTTTAGTCATCATAGAAATACAAATTAAAATCATAGTTCTCACTCCAAATAATAGCCAAAATTAAAGGAATGATCATTTGAATTTTTGGCAAATTTGTGGGGCATCCACAATTTTCATATATCGCTGGTGGGAGTGTAAATTGCTGCAATGGCTTTGTAAAATTGGCAGTATCTACAAACTCTAAGTATACTAATATGTTTTAGCAATTCTACTCTTGCCTGCAAAAATGCATATGTATATATGTTCACTAATAGAGGTGTACAGAATGTTCATGGCAGCATACGTTAAAATACCTAAAAGTAGAAGTAAGCCAATTATTTATCAACAGTAGGATGGATAAACTAAAGCAAATTACTACAGTGGAATGCTGCACAGCAGTAAGAAATGAATCAACTACTGCTGCATCCAACCACATGGACGAATTTCACAAAAAATGTGTAGAGTAAAAGGGACAAGCCACAAGATAGGGACAAGCCACAAGATAACACATACTGTATAATTCCATTTATTTGAAATTCAAAAACAAAATAAATTTTTGGTGTTAGAAGTAATGATAGGGATAATATTTGGAACAGTGCAGTTTGGGGAGCTACACAAGATCCACAGGTGCTGATAATATTTAGCTTCATGATCTAGGTGATAATGTGTTCACTTTGTGATAATAAAGCTGTGCTTACATAATTAGCAGACTCCTCTGTATGTATGTTACTTAAAGAATTTTAGTTCAGATAATTGCAGTTTTGTAACTAGCATAATCTATGTATTAAGCTATAAATATGAGTACCGTTAATTGAAAAAGTGATCATGTTAATTGACAACTTTAAAATTAGTTCTAGAATTATTATAAATATTGTAAATTGTAAGTATTATAAATAGTGCTATAATATATACTTCTTTAATGATGAGCTATATATGTAATATAATACACTATTACATTAAAATAACACCAATAGTTTTTAGAAGTAACCTTTTCACACATATTTTCAGAAGTTGGAAGTTAGTAATTTTTGGAGTGGAGAATTTTGAAGAGTGGTTTATTTTAGCTGGGTGTTTTAAGTGAAAAATTTAAGTGTTTTTTAGTTGTTGTATGCATCTTACAATGTACATTCAGCTGATAACACTGAAACTGTGCTGTGTGTGGAGAAGCTATGCTTTTCAGATCCTCTGATAATAGTAAAGGCAATAAATATAGTTTTAAAGTATATCTGTATTCTAGTTTTATGAGGTGAAAGTGTTCTTTGATATTGCTCCAGCAGTGCTTTCTTGGTTATACATACACTTAAATAATGACATGGGAAATTTCTTTACAGCTGCCTCATTTTGATTTTTGGTCTCTACTAAAAAGTTTAAAGATAAAACAGTCTTGGGAGAAAGGGAAAAAAATGGAAATAACAGTAAAAGCAAATGCTATGCCCCTTGTTTTCAGTTAATAATTTTTTATGAAATAGCTTATTTTTTTTGTTGGCATACATTAAAAGAGAATTTACACCATAGAATTAAGTACTATTATGACCATATTAAATTAAGCTTTTTTATTAGAACATTTTAATTTGAAATAATATCCATTTGGTTCTTTTTCTTGTTTAATTAAAAAAAAAACCTCAAATGAGTATTGTTATTCGCCAGCCATGTTTCCTGTTATTTTCTTTAAGCCAAATCTACCTGTTGTTCTGTTTTATTTATGTTTTGTACATTTTTCAATAAATATAAGTTCCATGAAGACAGGAACTTAATTGGTTTTGTTTCACTACTGTTTTTCCAGCACTCAGAGCTATTTCAGATACACAGTAGGCACGTGTAAATATTTGTAGTTAGAATGATTGAATGGATCAATGAAATATAATGAATAAGTCTGCATGGTTCAGCTCTCAATCAACTCCACAGAATTCACTTATTGTTTAAACACATGTAGAAATAACAAATGTTATTTCTAGTATGATTTTTATAGGGATTGGTGGTAGATTTTAAATAAGCTTGAATATTATACAACAGACTTTCGAACTTCTTGTTATTTTTTAAAGGAGGACAAAAATGGTAAGGGGGAAAATAATATACATCATATTTAGCTTTGTTTTTTATGAAATAAATAATGATTAAAAATAATCTGCACTTCAAATTGTGTTTTTTCTTGTCTTTGATAATTTTAAAATATGGTAGTATTTAAATATGATAGGACTGCTCAAGTACCACTTAAAATTGTATATATGTATTGGTTTTGTTTGTTTTCCTATTTATATCTGTTTCCACCCCACCCCACCTTTTTTAAGAATCCAACTCAAGTCGGAACAGCTCTTCAGGTTTTCTATAATCTTGGAACTTTGAAGGATACTATTACCAGCGTTGTGGATGGATATTGTGCTACTTTAGAAGAAAATATCAACAGTGCATTAGACATAAAAGTTTTGACTCAGCCTTCCCAGTCAGCTGTGAGAGGTATGGATGTGGTTTATATTTAGCTTCTTTATTTATTTATAACTGAGAAGTCCTTTGAAAAGTATGTGAAACACTCATGTTTCAAAGCAATCTAATGACTCATTTTTTAGTAGACAGAAAATGAGAGAAGAAATTATGTTTCAGAATTTATTTATATCGTTTTTGTCTAATCAGTGATTTGAACTGGCCAATTGGTATATTCAGAACTTCTAGATAAAGATCTATAAACTGTAGCATCATTTAGTTGAGAGGAAACAGATGCAAAAAAAAAAAAAAAAAAAAAGGGCAAGGAACACATTTTTCTTCTAAAATCCTTATCCTTCCATGTGCTTCTTATTGAGACAGAAAATGTTTTTTAAGGAATGCCATCTCTACTTTAGCTTTCTGGACTTTTCTTTATGATAATTCTGGTACCCAGGAAAAATAATGACTAACTGTGGAGATAGAAACTGATAAAATCCTTGGGAACATTACAACTATATTAAAGTCTAAAGAAAACTGTTAAAGGATGGTAAATTCACGGTAGAGAGGAGTAGCGCTTCATTAGGAGTCTGTAAACCTTTTCCTACCAACACATAGCTGACATAGCTGGTGATACTTACATATACATACCCTTCTCCATAAAAGAAGATAGAAAAGACCACAGATTATATCCACCCTCTCTTACTTGCTGCTACTCCGTGTCTCCGTTTCTCCCCTTATATTCATTCTTCGTTTCTGTTGGTAGGAATGAACTATGCTTTCTCTCAGCAAAGACCAAGCACTTGCAGTTGTATTAGATCTCATCACTGCAAGGTACTGCTTTAGCAGATGCCTTCTTTCCACCAGATTGACAATATTTCTTTCTTTGCATCTCTTTCCCTTCACATACAGTTGTGTTATTGTATCTCCTTTGCTTAAAATCAATTAAATATATCTTAATGTATTTCTTCAGCTCTACTACCTGCATTTTATTTCTTCAGTCTTCAGGAAAATTCCCCGAAATGTTATCTGTAGTTAATGTTTCTGGTTTTTCTCCTTCCATTTTTCTGTTGAAGGCACTCTGATCTATCACAGGGTTGATGGAATAACTCATATTGAATTAATAAGAGTTCTGGATCCATAGTTAATAGTAAAAAACAGTGGCTATTTATTAATTTTTTTTTTTTTAGATTTTTAATTTTTTATTAAAAAAATATAGTTGGAGTTTTGCTATGTTGCCCCAGTTGGTCTTGAACTCCTGGCCTCAAGCAGTCCTCCTTTCCTTGGCCTCCCAAAGTATTGGGATTACAGGCATGAGCCACCATGCCTGGCCTATTATTATTTTTATATTTGCTATATATATGTGACCTTAATACTGAATATATATAACTTTTAAGTTGTACTAAACAAAAAGAGATAAAAGAATCTTAGGTCTTAAAGAGATTTTTAAAGGTTAGCCCTAGCCTCTGAATCGGTTTGTATTGAAACTATTCTGGAAGGATATCTTTGAAAAGAACTTGCCAAAGGAGATTTTACTCTTAGCTTTTCCCAGCAGTTATTCTCAGAAAGTTTGATATAATGTTTAAATTTCCAGGAGCAGTTTAATCTCATTCCCCCTTGTGTTGTCAAGAATGGGGAAAAAAATGAAAGCAGTTATTCACATGCTGTCAATCCTAATGTATGCCTCTTTTGTTGAAAGAATAAAGAGTTTTAAAGCTGCCTTATTACTATGCCTTGACAAGTGGATACCATGGTTTAACACAGAAACCTTAAGCATCAATTCTTTATTATTTTCTTTAAAAGAGTAATCACAATTATTTTATATTTTAAAATGTTTTATAGACAGTATTAATGTTAGTTTCCTGATCTTGTTTATATTGAAGTTATGTAGGAGAATGTCCTTGTTTGTTGGAAATACACATTAAAATATTCAAGAATGATGGGCATCGTGTCAGTAACTTACAAGTTGTTCAGGGAAAATTTTTTTTACAATACTTACAAATTTTTTATAAATGTAAGATTATTTCAAAATTTTAAAAATACATAATAGGATTCTGTCAGTGTATGTTTCTGAGAGTGAATGGCTCACAGCTGATGAGGATCTAACAGAACCACTACACAGGAAATTGACAGTGGCATTCATGAGTGTGATGGTGCATGATCTCATTTTCAATCTGAGACTTCCTAAGAAGAGAAAAAAAATACACACACACACACACGTGAATATAAATAATACAATTTTAAGGATAAAAAATAAAAAGCCTGTAACTCAATAAGAAAAAGGTAAACAACCCAAGAGAAAAAAATGGATCAAGAATATGAATAGGCAGGTCACAGAAGAACACATTCAATAAACATGTGAGAAGATGCTCAGCCTCTTTTTGCGGGATGAAACAGTTATTAAGGAAATACAAATTAATCATCAGATTGGCAAAATCTAAGAACTAAGTTCTGGACAAGAGCAGAAACTGTTGTAAACTATGCAAGGAGAATAAAATCCACTTTACTCAATTTTATCTCTAAGGTGGAAAATGTGTTCACCTTATATTATACTTTCTAAGAATATACTGCAAGAAACTCTGGCACGTATATATAAGAATTTTTGTTACCTGGCTGGCATGGTGGCTCATGCCTGTAATCCCAGCACTTTGGGAGGCCAAAGTGGGTGGATCAACTTGAGGTCAAGAGTTTGAGACCAGCCTGGCCAACATGGTAAAACCCCCTCTCTACTAAAAATACAGAAAAATTAGCTGGGCATGGTGGCACATGCCTGTAATCCCAGCTACTCAGGAGGCTGAAGCAGGAGAATCGCTTGAACCCAGGAGGCAGAGGTTGCAGTGAGCCGAGATAGTGCCACTGCACTCAAGCCTGGGCAACAGAGCAAGACTCCATCTAAAAAAAAAAAAAAAAAAGAATTTTAGTTACCTCATTGTTTACAAATAGTGAAAAAGTACAAGCAATGGATAAACTAGTTTTAAGGGGATTAATACACAGCGTTTAAATTAACAAATTTCCCGATATAGATAATGGTCAAAAACAGTACATGAAAAAGTTACAGAAACATATATACAGCATGATACCGATTTAAAGCCTAAGAACATGACAGACTATATTAAATTGTTTTTGCATGTGTACATATGTACTAACAGTGTAAACACGTGCATTGGAACAATGATCAACAATTTTAAGATACCAATGCTGGGCATGGTGGCACATGTCTGTAATCCCAGCTACTTGGGATGCTGAGGCGGAAGGATCACTTGAGCCCAGGAGTTCGAATCCAGCCTGAGCAACATAGCAAGACTCTATCTCTTAAAAACAAACTACAAAACCCAATACCATTACATCTGATGAGAGAGCAAGGGAAATGAGACTAGCAAAGGAGAGGACAAGGAAACTTCACTTTATTTAATGTTGTATTTCTTAAAGTTTGGTGGTTAGTGTTCATAACATTATTCTATATGCTTTTTTGTATGCCTGAAATATTTAACAATAAAACATAAATGTTAAGAAAGTCAAACAATGAAAAAAGATGATAATGAAGCAAAGTAGACAACACAGTATATCCAAATTTCATCACCCAGATAGATACTGTGGTTGTTACTATACAGTGAACAGTAGTCCATACATTTATCTGTGCATTTTATGTTATAGAAGGATAAATGGAGAGGCATAAATGGAATTTTAAGATACATGCTTTTTAAAAATATCTTTTTATTATAAAGTAAAACTTACACAAAAAAAAACCGTAAATGAAACATGCAGCTTAATGAATTATTATAAGGTGAACACTTCCTAGGCTAAACCAGCCATCCAGAAACCTCTTTACCAATCACAACCAACCCCTCTCTCTCCCGTATGTAACCATTATCCTCACTTTTATATTGATAACTTCCTGTGTTTTTCTCTTTATAGTTTTATCATTCATGTGTGTGAACTTAAGCACCATAGTTTAGCCTTACCAGTTTTAGAAGTATACTTTTTAAAATAAAATATTTTATTTTCGTTCAACAAAATAATTAGAAATTTATGTGGCATCAAGGACTTAGTGAATTTCCAATTAATGCTTCTTCATAGGAAATACTAGATCCTAATTGATACCTCTAAATTTAAAAGTAATGAATGAAAGATTACAAAAAAAATTAAGAAATTGAAATCATTTGTTACTAAGTCTATTGAGTCTTTACTACTAAATGTGGGAGATAGGCATACTTAAACTTTTCCCTACCCCCCCCATCCTCATTTGCCTGTTGTTTGTTATGTTATTTTTGAATGATTAATGTTTTTTACATGTTCTTCTATTTTTAAATGATTTTAATCTCTGGTTGTTTTAATATGACCTCTGCATTTCTTTTCTCTTTTTTTCAATAGCTTTAGGAGTACAAGTGGGTTTTGGTTACACGGATGAATTGTATAGTGGTGAAGTCTAAGATTTTAGTGCATGGTCACCCAAGTCATGTACATTGTACCAATATGTTGTTTTTTAGCCCTCACATCCCTCCCACTCTCCCATTCTGAGGCTCCAATGTCCCTTATAGCACCCTTTTTGTACCCATAGCTTAGCTCCCACTTGTAAGTGAGAACATATGGTATTCAGTTTTCCACTCCTGAGTTACTTCACTTAGAATAATGGCCACTTGTTCCATCCAAGTTGCTGCAAAATATATTATTTCATCCTTTTTTATGGCTAAGTAGTATTCCATGGTGTGTGTGTATATATATGTGTGTGTGTGTGTGTGTGTGTGTGTGTGTGTGTATATATGTGTGTGAGTGTGTGTGTGTATATATATATGACAGTTTCTTTACCCACTCATTGTTTTATGAACACTTAGATTGGTTCCCTATCTTTGCAATTGTGGGTTACGTTGTGATAAACATACACATGTAGTTGTCTTTTTGATATATGACTTATTTTCCCTTGGGTAGATACCCAGTAGTGGGACTGCTGGATCGAATGGTAGATGTACTTTAGGTCTTTGAGAAATCTCCATACTATTTTCCATAGAGGTTGTACTAGACCTCTCCATTTCTATACTTAT